ATTGGGTTTATTTGTAGTTAAGCACAAAGCTACACCATGGGCTATCTGTGCTCTGCTCACCATGGGTATCGAGACCCGGTTTCTAGCGTTGTAAATCCGCAAACATACCGCTGTGCCACTGGAGGCGCGTGTATTGCAGTAAATAAGAATTGTTATTCTTTAATTCTACACTAGTTTTTGATATTTTTATTTGTCATTCTATAAATGTACAGTCCTTTCTGATATTTTTATTTGTTATTCTATAAATGTACAGTCGTTTCTGATATTTTTATTTGTCATTCTATAAATGTACAGTCGTTTCTGATATTTTTATTTGTTATTCTATAAATGTACAGTCCTTTCTGATATTTTTATTTGTTATTCTATAATTCTACAATAGTTTCTAATATTTTTATTTGTCATTGTATAAATCTTCAGTCGTTTCTGATATTTTTATTTGTTATTCTATAATTCTACAATAGTTTCTGATATTTTTTTGTTATTCTATAAATCTACCGTCGTTTCTGATATTTTTATTTGTTATTCTATAAATCTACAGTAGGTTCTGATATTTTTATGTGTTATTGTATAAATCTACAGTCGTTTCTGATATTTTGATTTGTTATTCTATAAATCTACAGTAGTTTCTGATATTATTATTTGTTATTGTATAAATCTACAGTCGTTTCTGATATTTTGATTTGTTATTCTATAATTCTACAATAGTTTCTAATATTTTTATTTGTCATTGTATAAATCTTCAGTCGTTTCTGATATTTTTATTTGTTATTCTATAATTCTACAATAGTTTCTGATATTTTTTTGTTATTCTATAAATCTACCGTCGTTTCTGATATTTTTATTTGTTATTCTATAAATCTACAGTAGGTTCTGATATTTTTATGTGTTATTGTATAAATCTACAGTCGTTTCTGATATTTTTATTTGTTATTCTATAAATCTACAGTAGTTTCTGATATTTTTATTTGGCATTCTATAAATCTACAGTTGTTTTGATATTTTTATTTGTTATTCTATAAATCTACAGTTGTTCTGATGTTTTTATTTGTCATTATATAAATATACAGTCGTTTCTGATATTTTTATTTGTTATTCTATAAATCTACAGTAGTTTCTGATATTTTTATTTGTCATTCTGTAAATCTACAGTCGTTTCTGATATTTGTATTTGTTATTCTATAATTCTACAATAGTTTCCGATATTTTTATTTGTTATTCTATGAATCTACAGTAGTTTCTGATATTTTTTTTTGTCATTCTATAAATCTGCAGTAGTTTCCGATATGTTTATTTGTTATTCTATAAATCTACAGTAGTTTCTGATATTTTGGATTTACAAGTACATATAGTATTTACTAATTTTAAAATTTCAAAGAATGAAGAAAATTGTGACGTTAAGTATATTGAGCTGATTACTATAAAAAGTTAGAGGTTTTTTGCTTTGGACAAATTAATGTAATGTTTGAAAACATTTCTAAGTTGTTAAAATCAACTTAACGTTAATCTACCACAGAATGAACGCTATGCTAGCGGTAAAAGTCTAGGAAAACAGAGCTATGTCTTTAACGTTTTGCTAGCAGTAAAAGTCTAGGAAAACAGAGCTATGTCTTTAATGTTATCATACCATTACAAGTGTAATAATATCAAAGTGTGGTTTAAGTGTCACACTATCATGAAATCTAGATGTCTAATAAATAACTTTGTTTGACAGTTAACTATCCGTGGACATAAATTGTTTGACTGTGTGTTAGATGTCTCAGTTTTCCTCTAGTTTGAATATAAAACATGAAGGCATGGGTTTTTGTACAGCAAATGTAATTAAAATATTGTTTTAAAAAATTGATATACTTTTATTACCCTTATATCTATATAGCCTTACTTTCATCATTATCTGTTCAACGACCATTTTCCATTTTATTACGTGTATTATTTCTGCTAGAACACGTGATCTCTTCTTACCTAAGAATAACATTGGATTACAACTTTACATAATTCAAATTAGGCGCTAATATTATTTCAGTATCGTGACATTAAAGACTGAAAGAAGCACCTGTGATCCTTTATTTTCTTAGAAGTAGTTTTAGTAATGATTAAAATATGAGCTTCGTAAGACTCAATAATCAAATGAAATTGTCCTAGAAGAATGTAAAACTTTTTTGTATGTCACAAAAGTGGAAAATATATAATTTGGAGTATTGTATTTCATTAACATTATGGCTATAATATAACTGTACATAAAATTACCTCGGGTGCTAGTAGCTAGCCTTTAAGACTGTGAATCAGAGGATTTTACGTTCGCGTTCCATTCTCGCTATCATACGCTCACTAGCTCACTACGTTTATTAACTGGGCATGTCAAGCAATTAGCCTTATTATGGTCTGCCATAGTTTGTATTACACGTGGTAGATAAGTTGCTCAAGCAACTTTATGTTGCTAGTAATAAAGCTAATAGAATTGTAGGGTTGTACGTATAGAGTTAATGATTACATATTAAAAGAGTTGGGCCTCACTTGGAATAATGTGCACAGTTCTGGTTTCCTTACTTAAGAAAATATATTGATTTATTGGAAATGGTTGAGAATAAATCAATTGGATAAATTAGAGAATGAGAGTTTTATTGTAGAAGATTAGTCAAAACTGTTCATTTGAAGGGGGGGGGGATAGGGATTGTCAAAAAAGTACAGAAACAATTTCAAATAAAATGCAAATAATATTTTTAAAGCCTACAGCTATGAACTCTAAATTTACTTTTTTATTTCCATTTATGGTGAATACATTTTAAGCTACATACGTGTATATGCGTTCAGTTGAATGTTACATGATTTTAAACAGTTTACTGCTGCATTTAATAAACAACTACAAAAAGTTCTTCTAAAGGATCATCTTGAAGGTGAAGATTGTATCATCACAGATTTAATGACTGACTTTCATCAATGTCACTGTGTAATGTAACAAAAGACGAGCAGCAACAGAGCAATCTCATCAGAACGGAATAATATATCTTCTAAGATAATACAATTAACACAGATTTACAATGTAAACAGACGCAGTAACATGTTTACTTCGTTAGGTCTACCTGACACATATGTATGTTCTTCAACAGCCTGGTGTGCACAAGTGTTTACTAGAATAAGGCAACAAAAATAATACATGTGAAATAGACAACAAGTAACGGTCAATCCCACTATTCGTTGGTAAAACAGTAGCCCAAGAATTGACGGTAGGTAGTGATGACTAGCTGCCTTCCCTCTAGCCTTTCAGTGCTAAATTATGAACTGTTAGCGCAGATAACCCTCATGTAATTTTGCGCGAAATTCAAAACAAACGAACAAATAAACAAAGTATCACTATCGTGTTTAATGAGAGTAAAATGTTTAGGTTTACAGTATTATCGATAGGACAATTTTCTATTCTTAACATATTAGGGCAGTTTAATGATTTATAAAAGACTGTATATGCTCCAATTAGGATAGTTTAATTTTTAACAGAATAATAAGATTTAGAAACGAATATCCGTAGGGAATAATATGCAGATCATCAACTTATTTATCGAAGCTTAGGAGAGGAGTCAATGAGTTTCTGAAAAATAAAAGGTGTGTTTACTTTTTTATCATCAAATAGTTGATATGCAAGGACACCCTTATAGGGCCTAATAGTTCTTCGTTCTCCATAATTATATTATTTTATTTAGCTTTCGAGCTCCTAAAATTTATATACAATTAAAAGTATCTTTTCCCCCATAAAGATAAGAGATATAAATGTACAATTCAAACCGTTATTAACTTCTGTAAAGAAATATAAAAGGTGTCTGGATGTGTCAGCTAAACGGAAATTTTTATAAAGATATCGAACAGTTTGTGGTTAACTATTGTTTCGAAGCGATTGTTTCTTAAGTGTGCTTTGTTGCGAGTCAAAAGGTATTTTTAAAGAAAAATATATTTATTTTCACAAATGAAGAATGGTGAGTATTTTAACCATCATGAGACTGACTCTACTAATTCAAACGTTTCAGCAATTAACTCAAACAGCTTTCTTAATATAGATACCACCACCTGCTTACCCATACCTATAAATATCCACCAACAGTAATCACAATTCACACAACATTCAACCTTGATAATGGATGCAGAACGCATTCGAAACGCGTCGGCCAACTCATCACTACCTACAACTTTTACTCGTTGTTCTAACAACGTTAAGACGGCTTATCGACTTCTTGAGAAGAATTGTGCAGTATTATGATATTAATGTTGGTAACAGTAATTTGATGCACACTAATTACGCTGTTTTCACTAGGAATAAACTTTATCCAAAAACGTATTAGAGTAGAATAAATCTAAAATAGTCCACATAAGTTTAAGTAATTATTAGTCAGTCAAACACATTTAATTATCTCTTAAATTAATTAAAACGTTTGTTTGTTTTTGAATTTCGCGCAAACCTACACGAGGGCTATCTGCGCTAGCCGTCCCTAATTTAGCAGTATAAGACGAGAGAGGGAAGGCAGCTAGTCATCACCACCCACCGCCAACTCTTGGGCTACTTTTACCAACGAATAGTGGGATTGACCATCACATTATAACGCCCCCACGGCTGAAAGGGCAAGAAGAACAATATTGGCGACAAATCTTGCAATGCTTGATTGCTTTGGTCAGAGTTCTTGGCATGCAAAACTTGTCATTCCGCGGTACAAATGAAAAGTTGTACAGTGCTAGCAATGGAAATTTTTTAAAGTATGTAGAATATCTAGGCCTTTTTGATCCTATCATGAATGAACATTTGCGTAGAGTTAAAGATCAAGAATTAATGGTTCACTACCTAGGAAAAGAGATCCAAAATGAGCTTATATAGCTTCTAGCCGGTGCTATAAAGCAGCAAATTTTAACACATACAAACTCAGCCAAATACTATTCAATTATTCTGGACTGCACACCTGATGTTAGTCATATTGAGCAAATGACAATGATTGTACGTTTTGTTGATGTAACCAGACTATGAGATGTCTGAGCCTGAAGTTATCATAAGAGAACTTTTCTTGGGATTTGTTCCACTACAGGAGACTACAGGTGCCTTTATAGCAGAAACTCTTCTTGGACAGCTTGAGCAAATGGGATTACCAATTGAAAATCTGCGTGGTCAAGGATATGATGATGGGAATAACATGACAGGCAAAGAAAATGGCGTACAAAAGAGACTCCTGGACATAAACCCACGTGCCTTTTTTTGTGCCCTGCAATGCACACTCTTTAAGCGTAGTAGTCAATGATGCTGCTAAGTGTTGTCTGGAAGCAACTAGTTTCTTCAGTTTGGTTCAACAGATCTATAATTATTTCTCTGCATCGACTAAGCGTTGACAAATTCTAACTAGCCATATATCAGACTTAGGCATAACTATTAAGCCATTGAGTGAAACAAGATGGGAGAGTCGGATCGCTGCTTTGAAACCACCGAGATATCATCTTGGTAATACATATGATGCTTTAATAGAGATCTTTGATGATACAAGCCTAACAGGTTCATCTGGAAATACTTCCCGAATTGAAGCTAAGGCTTTTGCTGGTGCAATTAGTAAGTTCAAGTCTGTGGTATTCCCTTGTTACATGGTACAACATCCTTTTTGAAGTCAATCTTACAAGCAAGTTACTACAAAATAAGGAAGCTGATTTAAATTCAGCTATAAGACAGTTGCAAGTGACTAAGAATTATGTGGTGGACTGCAGGTGTGATGAGGGTTTTCAACAAGTTTTGACAGATGCTACTGAGATTGCAAAGGAACTAGAGATACTACCAAACTTTGAGACAGAACAAGTTAGAAACAGGAGAAAGAAACGGCAGTTTGAGTATGAGGCCCAAGAAGAGGCACCACAAGATCCAAAGCAAAAATTCAAAGTAGGTTTCTACTATGCTGTTTTAGACATGGCCATACAATCTGTTGAAGAGAGATTCCAACAGCTACAACAGTATAATTCCCTATTTGGCTTCCTGTATGATATATACAGTATAACGAAAAAAATCTACTGAAGATGTATTTGAGGACTGCAAGAATTTGGAAAAATCATTGATACATAACGGAAACAAAGATATTGATGTTGAAGATCTATGTTGCGAACTTATAGCAATAGCTCGAAGACTTCCAAAGTCTATGCCGCCACAAGAAGTACTTCTTTTCATACTACAACGAAAACTCCTGGATAATGTGCCTAATGTTTCTGTTGCTCTAAGGATCCTTCTCACACTTCCAGTATCAGTGGCAAGTGGTGAACATAGTTTCTCAAAGCTCAAACTTATGAAACTTACATACGCTCTACAATGTTGGAGAAAAAGACTAATTGGCTTGGCAACTATATCAGTTGAACATGCCCAAGCATCAACACTTGATCTGGTTGAATTGGTGACAAAATTTGCAAAGGAAAAGGCACCCAAAGTGATATTTTGCTGTGCCTGAAATTGAAACTTTTATGAGACGTTTTTAACTCTGTTTGTCTGTTTTTTGTTTGTTTCTCTGTCTGACTGTAAGCAAAATATTGTGGTAACATGACGGGTTGGTTACGCCAAGTAACCTTAAATGATATACACAGCGTGGTCTCAAGTAAATAGACACCACATTTCCAGAAAAAAATGAAAATTTT